AGGTTTTGCTGAGACCAGTAAAAAGAGTGTTACAATAGTCTAAGCGTGATGACACAAAGGCATGGATGATTTTTTCCATATCTGCAGTAGAAACCAGTTTACGGACTTTTGAAATGTTTCTCAGTTGAAAGAAACAAGAGCGGGAGATGGTTTTGACGTGTGAGTTTAAACTTAAAGCTGGATAAAAAAAATAACTCCTAGGTTTCTAATGTTGGCCTTGGCTGATGGGCAAAAAGAGGCAATTTCTTGCTCGATTTCTTGCTTAAATGTATGGGTGATCACCATCGACATATATACTGGACAATTCGTTTCCATAGGCTCCAATAATACGTTTTTAAGCCAAAATGGGAGGTGGCCACCAACGCCATTTTGACCGTGTCACAGGTTCCATCAAGCCCAGACAATTCCAAAAATGGGAAGAGAGGTGGAGCTGAGGGTGGGGCTGTACAGAGCTGTAGAAAGAGAGAGCTGTGACACTCCAATAGACTTCTATGGAAAGAATGGAATGCGGAAGTCACGTGGTTCATGTAGCTTCAAATAGTTTCAAACAGCCCCCGCTGCTGCATTTACCGCAGTTCGTTTTCGGTGTTTCGGAAGGATTTTCTCCAGTAAGCTGATGAAATGTCATCAGTTTTTTTGCACTGTGAAAGGTTAGCTAACCGCTTCGTACCAAAATAAGCCAACGATGATATTTTATGTTGCCAGTTTTAGCTAGATAACCTTTAATGAGCTAATTCTGTGCAGCTTGTTGATTGTGAGGAGGGTTTAGACAAGCTTGACGAATTGCAGACGGGTTTATTTCAGTTTGTTTGATTCTACGTTTTAAAAAATATTCCCCACAGTTTGAAATAGGTTATAAACTTTTTCCAGTATTAGTTTTAATTTGGATTTTTTTGTACAATACGTTGCTGGATCAACACGAACATGCATCAGAAATGGAAGAACAAATGGATAGACCAATAATAAGGAAAAATGTGATTGTGAAGACAAGTAATTATTTAATATTTTTCAGTTAATAACACTGACTGCAGCAAACTGCTGAAGCATGAGACAAACAGGATTACGAACGTAAGAAGATATGTTGTTCTGTTTTGTGGACTCAAGTAATAAGAATAAAATTACGATATTTCAAGAATAGTAGTCGAACACAATAAATTTTTTAAATTTGACAATTTCCATCAAACTGCTCAGTTCCACTTGCTTTATAATATCAGCATTTGCAATTTTGTTATTAAGGAATGACAAGAAATAAGAATTAACAATAACATAAATATCAATAAATAAATGTCAAAGAGTTACTAAAACAAAGATCTCATGTAACCATTAAAGGTTAAACTGTGTTGTGTGTCCATCTTCATGTTTTCATAGTGGCGGAGCGGAGAGCTGACCAGAAACAACGGTGGTGGCAAAACCCAGTTGGGTCTGTGATGGAGTGATGCACGCCTGGAGTGATTGCCATCTCATCCACAGTAAGCACACACTCTCTTTCCATCTCTGTCAGATTTTTAACCTTCAAACTGAGCATGTCACACACCTCTCCTAACACACCTGGTTCCAGTTAATGGGCTGCATTTGTCTTTGCAGGGTTCTAACACCAGGCAGAGGGATACTCGTATCCTGAAGAAACCTGCAGCCTGTTGAACCCACTGAAAAACAGAGCTGTATGGCCTTTTTGATTGTCTGTTTACTCTATTTAATGCCTCTTAAGTTTTTCATGCCTTTTTGATTTTCTATTTCCTCCCTTAGGTTTTCCAGCTGGGTTCCCTGGTTGCATAGCCTGTTGCTTTCTCCTCCTGTCCCTGACGCCGGCTCCTCATGGCTTCCTGGGATGTCCATCTCTCCTGATACCATCTCATATCCCCCTCACTTTCACTCATCTCATTTGCCTCACTCTCGAATTCTTGTCCAATCATTTGGAGAGGAGGGCAGGGTTCTGCAGAGCTGTAGAAAGAGAGAGTTGTGACACGCTTTTAACTCACCGACTCGCGGTCACGTGGTTCATGGAGCTCTCAATAGTTCCAAACATCCTAGCGCCGTAAGTCAGTTTGAACAGCGTATGGTGGGACAAATCACAAAAATTGAATATTGTCACATTTCCCCTGGCGATTTGTGGTAATTATAGAATAATGCGAGGGACGGATTGGGGTCGATCTGAATCTGGGGGGGACAGATCCCCCCCACCCCCCCATCCTAACTGCACGCCTGCACCATCAACATATTATATATATATATATATATATATATATATATATATATATATATATGTGTGTGTGTGTGTGTGTGTGTGTGTGTGTGTGTGTGTGTGTGTGTGTGTATCAATGGGTTTCCATGGGCTCCAATAACACATTTGAGGAAAAATGGGAGGTGGCCACCACCGCCACAAAAGGGAAGAGAGGTGGAGCTGAGGGTGGGGCTGTAAGGCGGGGATCAAATGATGACACCCGTCAAACTGAAGCGGTGTAGCTACTGTACAAGCTAACCCAAAGCTAACGCGAAGGTGGGAGCTAAGCTAACGGAGGTAACTATCTAGCTACAACCGGAGTTAACTGTGCACAACACCAGAGCTTCTGAGTCAGACATACGCCGGGCTGACTGCTGGGTAAAACCAGGTGGAACACAGAGGTCTCCCGAGAGCTCCACAAGCTGGCAGCTGCGCAGCAGACAAGCACCGCGGTGATCAGAGATGTGCCAACTTGCAGGGAGGGGACCATACCGATATTCGGAACCCAGCTCCACCAACATGTTATATTTCCACCCATTTTCTAAAGTGCAGCATTATGTTAAATGCACTGGGTTTTACCCTATTAAATTTAAATTTCATGGTTAAACAGTACATGTTAAAATCTAAGCTCAGCTCGCCAGTGACCTAAAATACATAAATATAATTTTACTTAACGAAAAAAATGAAGTGGAGACTCCTTGGATGCTCTATTAGTGCAATTAATGCCACAGCAAGTCATTTTGTCCAACAACTGCACAAATAATATCCAAAAAATAATACACAAACGTTACAACTACTGGTCTAAGGTGAGAGACTGAAAATTGTGGAAGAGTTTTCAGACGGAGGCCTTGCCTGGAGCTAGCTCTGTGGTCACGTGGGTCGGATGCTCATTAATCATACAGAATTTTAGGCTTTTAATACACTTAAACAGAAGAGTGAGAAAAATATTCACCCCCCTCAGAGTTGTCATGAGTGTAAACTAGATCTACTAAACCTAAAACATGTTTTCACTCAGCTCTCCTGCTGAAAAGCACACATGCACGCATGCTCACACACCTTCCAGAGGTAGCGCTTCTCTTCAGGTTAACAGCCTGTGATGCAGTAGTCGGTCTGCGCATTTCCCCAAAGTGGCACGATGGTCTGAACACCGGCCGTCCATCAAATTACAATTGTCGGCTCTGCAGCATTAGCAACCCCACCCTCACTGACGGTAAACCGTTACGTCCCTCCTCCGTTGTTTTGAAAAGAGAAAAACTGACTATCTCAGCTGCCAGCTGGAGATGAAACATGTTTCAGTAAAACCTTCCTTCAAAAACAACTGAAACATTACTCTTCTGGGATTTTCTCACTGTAAAACTCTCACCGTAGTCTTACATACTGCACCTTTAAGGTGAACTTTAGCATCATTGTCGAGTTCCACCTGTAGAACATGGAGGCGTGGCTCTGTTCTGGACCTGCTTTACTGCAGCTAAACCACCTGACCGAGATTTTATCCATGTCTATAATGGCGTGTACATTTGAAACAGTTGACCAAACTGTGTGTTAGCATAGGCTCACAAGTCAAGCAGCCAAGCTGATAGACCTTTGATAGGAGTGCTTCAGTTATTTACCCAGATGAGTGAGACACGAACCGTGATTGCCTCTACAAGCTCAGGAGCTCCTCTAGAAATGGCTTAGGGTTACTTTTTGGTTCACTGAACTCTTCACATCAGCTTTTTACCAGATAAAGTTCTAAACCTGAGCTGCTAGAATAACTCATCCAGGTTTTGGCTCCATGGTCAAGTCTTGGGGATCTCTGTGGTTCTACAGATTCCCAGAAGAAGCAGTCACTCATTCTTAACACAGGAGGATGTTGTTGGTCCTTGAAAGTCTCAGGACTTCTGATGGTCATAATAAATATCAAGTTTCCCTCTAAAGAACACATTTAACAGCATTTATCTTAATGAAACATTCATACCTCTAGAAGAATAGGTGATGTTTTATCAGTGAGAGGTGGGAACGCTTCTGTCCAGAAGGGAGACATTTAGTCTCACACCCATGGAGCAGCATTATGGGCTCGACACACGGGAGGCGACATCGCCTCTCCACCATTCATTTTCTATGAGACATGAGCGACAAAGCGATAATCGCGAGTCTCTCCCCTAAGCGAAACGCAAAAAACGTGCGTGTGAAATTTTGCGCTCGTGCCAGTGTCGTGCACAGACGACCCAGTGACGCGATCCCAGAAAGTTAAAATATTTTCAATTTTTCATCGCTGTCGCTCGGACGAGGACCAATCAACGCAGGTTTCATCCACTGACCAATGAGCGGACAGGATGCTCCGTACATCTCCGAGCAAACATGGAGAAGTTGATTATTATTATGTTTTATAAAGTAAAATCAGTAGTAAGATTTCATATAACTCTAGCAGCACCTTGTGAAACATCATATCTACCACTTTATTAACTCTGAACCGCTTAAATAACCTTAATTCCCTCCAACCTGACACAGCCAAACAAAACAACAGAAGTTTCAATGTCGCCATGGAACAGAACGCATAGACGGTTTGGCCGCGGGTCGCCTCCCGTGTGTCAGGTAATAAAAGCGACAGCGACGAATTTCACTGATCGCGGTCGTTTGTCGCCTCCCGTGTCGAGCCCATCAGGTCTGGTCTCCAACAGGGCTCAGTGATCCAGCTTTTGTAGGGATGGATCAGGTCTGGTATGTGTGGACCTGGTTTATGAAGTCCTGCAGGTTTAAAGCTCAGAGCTTCAGTTTCTACAAACCATAAGCTGAGAAGCAGATGAGGAACAGCTTTATTACCGAGTCTGGACACTTTCACACACAAAGATAATAAATAAAACCAGATGATGCAGCTGAAACAGTTAATGACTAAAGCGAGTCCCATCCACCTGAGTCCAAGTCACCTGAACAGGTGAGACACGTTTCTGATGCTAGTGTCCATTTCATTTTCAGTCCGATACCTTCGATTGTGTTTTCGCCCACATTTAAGGAAGCTGAAGGGCCGTCTGCTGAACTCATCATCTACCTCAAAAATAACATCCTGGTCCTTCTTAATGGACACAGTCGGCGCTGGATAACCAGAGCTGTCCTCCCCACTGCCCTGGACTTGGAGAAGATGGCCACGCGGGTCCCGAGGAACACATAGCTGGCCCTGCTGGGACCCGTCTTCTCCAGAACTGAATCCCAGGTCTTAACGGTTCTGAGATTTCACCTTGTTGCCGAGTCAAGATGAAACTTGCAACGAGACAAGATGAATAATGCCACTAAGCAGCGTTCTGTCTCAGGAAACAGGGTCATGTGACCTGCTGCACAAAAAAAAAACGTTTTAAAACAAAGAAGTGAAATTTAAGCAGATCCGGATCTGAACGTCTGAGCTGGGAGGTTCTGTTTCCTCTTGGTTTTCTTCTTTAGGAGCTGAAACAACAGCTGGAGTCTTTGTCTTCACAACCTCCACTCTAGGACAGGGGCTGGCAACTCCCTTCCCAGTGGGCCAGTATCCAGCATGTTTTAGTAGTTTCCTTGCTCCAGCACACCTGCTCAACACCTGGTAATCACCTGCTGAAGCAGTGAAACAGTAAACACGATGGACACCAGCCCTCGGGGCTTGCTGCTCTAGGAAGTCCAGCGCCACCACGCCACCTTCATCCGATCCCACACAGCACCCAAAGAGTCAAAAGCAGGACGCACGTCCAGGATGGAGAACTGGTAGGTGTCCTTGTTGATCTCTCCATCGTAGTAGTCGATGACATAACGCACCTCCTTCCCACAGCGGTCCACGATCCAGTCATGACGATCGAAAGGCAGCTCATACCTGCAGAGACACGTGGACGGAGTCCTCCATTTAAAGCACTGTCCAACATCTGGAGCATGATCTAAAAGCTCGAGGAGCTCTTTCATGAACTTGGAGCTCACCCCATCCAGTGACGGAGACGGGCCCGGGGAGAGTACTCTTTAGCTTTCCCACCAAACCTCTTGAGCGTGGGCCCACATGGGCACTCTCTAGCAGAACCAGAACAAACCCAGTCAGACTCTGAACAGTGGTGTGACACCTCCTGACTCACCCCTCCTCACCCAGCATGAAGGGCTTCCCACTTCAGGATCTCCTGCCAGGCCTGCTCGTTGTTCTGATTGTGGATCTTAATGATGTTGGTCATGTCCTGAGCAGCCAGGTCATCGTCCCGCCAGCGCCACCTGCAGAACAAAGACACAAGTCCTCAAGTCCCAGAGTTTGTTCAAACAAGCCTGAAGCTCCGCCCCTTCCTGCCAGCTCATGGGTCCCGGAGCGGGACATTAACAGTTATTTTCTAATCCTTGTAAAGATGGTATAATATTGTTGCTTTTAAGCTTAATATATTACCTTTACTTATGACCAGTAAGATGTGATATTCTATATAGATAAAGGGTACCAACCCGTTTGGTCTTTGAATGTTTAATCAGAAGATTCTAGGATTCTTTGCTTTTTCAGGGATCAAACACACTTCGTGTTCATTCAGACAGTCAGGTTTATAAAAAATAAGAAATTAATTTTCTAAACAAATTAAAAACAAGACAAGTTATAAATAAGACGAATGTGATGGATGAATATAAGTGGATGGATGTGATTTTTATCAGAACCTTGGATCTAGAGGAAACTGAGTTCTGGGTGTGAAAAGAATTTGGTCTGCATTAAACTATAAGTGATGGTTTATAAAACGGCATCAGACTCAATTCATGTCATGCCTATGTAGCCGTTCCTGGAGACCCCGTTTTGATCTGAGATGTCGAGGAGTCGGTGACCCCAATGCACGTGGCTCATAGGAAAACCTCAATGCGACCATGTTTGTCCCAGGATGTCTCCCGAGTCACAACAGATAGATGAAATAGTTTGTGTCTAGAACAGCCGTTTCTGAATAGCTGAAGGAACTAGTTTCTGTGTCGCTGCAGGAAGCTTTTGGCTTGTCGAAAGCCTTGATGGTTCAACGTCCCTTCAGGATTGGCCACTCCGAAGGTGTACTTGAACTGAATCACTCAGGAAGTGAGTTCTGTTTTAATTGTTCTCATATGATTACATGGCCAATCAGGACTTGACATGTAAAGAGGTGTTAACAAACCTCAGAACCCAGATACAGGATGCTCTGATTTGTGGATAAGAAAATATCGGTGTCATGAAATTACTTTAACCTTGTGAATGAGTGTGTGGCTGATTAGCTCGTCACGTAGACGGATTATCAGACAAATGGATCATTGCAGGACAATATTCATTTCAACCTTATTAACTTAGGCACAGATTAATCAAAACATTTCATTTAAACATACTGTCCATTTCATTATATGATTAGTTAACTCAGTTATTTTCTAATCCTTGTAAAGAGGGTATAATATTGTCGCCTCGTCCCGTAATCGTAAGGTTGCAGGTTCGAGCCCCGCTCAGTATGTTGCTGTTGTTGTGTCCTTGGGCAAGACACTTAACCCACGTTGCCTGCTGGTGGTGGTCGGAGGGACCGGTGGCGCCAGTGCTCGGCAGCCTCGCCTCTGTCAGTGTGCCCCAGGGCAGCTGTGGCTACATTGTAGCTCACCACCATCAGTGTGTGAATGTGTGTGTGTGAATGGGTGAATGACTGATTGTGTTGTAAAGCGCCTTGGGGGGTTCCAGGACTCTAGAAGGTGCTATATCAAATACAGGCCATCTACCATATGAGCTGAAAATGTTCACTTTTATTCAGAGGCAGGAGGAATCCTGGAGAAGCGATAAGGGAAGCTTAAGGTCTTGAAACAGAAACACTGTGTGCAGAGCTGCAGAGGCCTGGACCTCAGCTGATAGAATGGCAGGATCCGGCAGATTAAAGGCAACAAATGTAGACTCCTGTCTCCATATGACCGGAAACCGAAGGTCAAACTGTAGATGAAAAACTGACCATTTCTGGACTCTACATCCTCTTTGCCTCATGGCCTGAATCACATGTTGTACTTCAGTTTGAATGAAAATTAATGATGCGAGTTTCCACCATGCCATATTTCATATGTTCAGTTACTGGGTGGGCAGGACTCACCCCTTCCTCAGCATGGCGTTCCAGAACATCTGCTCAGACGGATAAACCCAGTTGTTGTCTGTGTCGTGACGGGGAATGGTGGACTCTTCTCTGGAGACGGACAGCTTGAAGGGCTGGTCTGGAGCTGGAACTTGGTTGGGAGGAGGCATCTGAGCACAGAGGAAGGATGGATCACCTCAAACATAAAGACCGATTGGATTTTAGGATGAAACGAGGAGGACCACACCCCTGCATACCATGTTTGATGGATCGATGTCATTCTTCACGCCTGCAGCAGCTCTCATGGGACACTCCACAAAGTCATAGGCCCGATCCTGGTGGACTGGGCCTGGTGCTGCTCGGTGCATCGGACACTCTGGCGGAGGAGACGCTGAGGAAACACCACCCATGTGAGTCGCAGTGGCCGTGGTGAAAAGGTCCCGGACGTGACCATTTTAACCAGATATTTTAGTTCTACTCTTATTTTAGTCAACTAAAATATTTAAAACACCAAACATGACAAACACGTCCCACCAGATGACTAAAGGTTACACATTTTCTTTACGTGATACAATAAGTACTTTGGTACCTTTAGCAGCTTCCTGGTGCATGGGACAGGCCTGGGGAGGTGGGGCAGCCATGGCCTCTGCTTGGACTGTCGAAACAGCAGGGGTGGACACGGAAGTTCCCATCCTGGTCTGTCTCATGGGTGAGAGGACAAGCAGGACATGTGAGACGCATGATAGACATGTTAAAAAGCTCTCCCTCTCTCTAACCCCGGTTTCGCACTGGAAGCCTCAACGGCGCTAAACGGTTTACTCGTGAACTTCTAAGCGGTCCTTTTCACACCAGGAGTCTTGGCAGCGACATGGCTTCCTCACTGGACTCGTGAGATCACAAACCCCCCAAGACTTCAGGTCACGGTTTGTTTACGCAATCCACCTTAAACCAAAAAGAAGGAAATCACGTTTTATGTCATATGAAGTTGTTCCTCTCCACCGCCAGGATTAACGCCATGAAAACACAACGCTGCACTTCTGGAACGATACTGGGAGAAAATAAGTCGTTGGGTCAAACATAAGCTTCATATGTATGAAATTGCATCGTTGCAGTACCTTAATTTTGAAAGTTACCAGGGATTTTACACTGAAACCGTGTGTCACTTCCTGTCCAGCCCTATTTTAATTGCGGAAATTGTCGTGTCCCAGAAGCGACTCGCAGCAAAAATTGAACCTGATCCTACCTTCAGCGGCGCAGCGTGCTGTCTCTGGGACACAACTGGAAATGTAAGCGTTACGGCTGGTTTGAAACACTCCATAGACTAGAATGGATTATATTTAAAGCAACGACATTCCACTCTGGTTCCACGCCGCTGATGCTTTCAGTGTGAAGCCAGGGTTACCCTAACCATAACCAGTGTATTCCTAACCTTAACTAGAACTTAATTCTCACCATAACACTAAAACCAACGAGCAGGGTTCTGTAACATTAGTGCCAAAGTGAGGACCAACAAAATGTCCTCATTTTGGTAATAATGTCCTCATTTTGGTAATAATGTCCTCATTTTACAGGTAAAAAGCTTGTCATTGGTTCTCACTTCAATGTATAGAAGAGTACAAACACACACACACACTTCTGTCTTTCTATCATAGTGAGGACCCTCCATCGAGTTACACTAATTTTTGTGACTGTCTAACCATGTCTAACCATAACCAATGCTGATCTATTCCTAACCCTAACCTTAAACTTCACATCATACCTCTAACCTCATGCTGGTCCTCAGTAGGCAATGAGTACACCACACACACACACACACACACACACACACACACACACACACACACACACACACACACACACACACACACACACACACACACACCTGGAAATTATTTTGACCCTTTTCACTAGTAGAGAGTTATGTTAGTATGAACAAGCTGTCTTCATCAGGATTAGCTCGGATAGTTCGATAGCTGGAACTAGGAAGAGGAACATTCATGGATGGGGACAAACTTCTATGTAACACCTGCTGGTTCTAACACAGCCCTGTCTCATTAACCGTTTGATTTGGGAATCCGGCTTAGTTTCAAAGTACAAAATAATTTTCAAGATAAAGAAAAAATGTCAAATGTATTTTACCGTCCGCCTGCAGCTAGCTAGCTAGCGGCTAACTCGCGTGGTTTCTAGGCCGTGAGATAAATGTGAAGGTTTCCGGACGTCTCGTTCTTGTTGTGTTTAAGTGATGAGCTGAACAGTGAATGAAACATTTACCTGTAGAGGTCAGAAACGGTCGTGATTATCCGAGTCTGTTCCAATGTCAGCGTGCTGGACTCGGTCACTTCGGACTTGTGCAACATGTCACGTGGTATACGTAATTCACAGCGTCATCACGCTGAAGGAATTTTAAACTCTCAATCTCTGTTTTAGTATTCTTTTTCTAGAATATCAGAAACATAATTAGAAGCAAAAACGTTAGATCCGTTGTCTATTTTCTGCAGCCGACCAAACTCGCCGTACACGTTGGCAGTTTGGTTCGTTTCTGATGCAGTAAACTTAAATTACGAGGCGCACCGAACGCCGCTTTAGTCAAACACTGCAACCGTCACTATGGTTACAGAACTTGCGATCTAGCTAGATTCCGGTCCTGGAGGTATCCAGCACGTGTTAGTGGTTTCCTGTGATTCAACGTACTTGATTCACCTGCGCAGCAGCTCGTCAGGCCGCAGAAGCCTGTTAATCACCTGCTGATTTAAATCAGGTGTGTTGAAGCATAGTTAAAACCAAAACGTGCTGGAGACCTGCAGACCGGAACTGAATACCCCTGAGCTAGACTGATCATTCCTGGCGCTGATTCAAACCACAGGGAGATCTCATCTGTGGGTTTGGAGGGGTCTGTGTGCCTCAGCCAGGGTGCGAGACAGGACCACTGGTGTCTCTGCTGCTCTGATGGTCAGAAGGGGTATAGTGTGCTCTCCTCACCACACAGTGAGATGGGAGAGAGGATGTTGGTGCTGCTTCTCCTGACCTCTACCGAAGAGCTGTGGGACTCCTACCTCATCTGTTTAGTTGATTTTCTGAGTCAGACCTCTTCCCTGGGTCACTGGGCTGGTCCTCTGGTTCTGATTCTGGATCACCAGGATGAAGAACAGTGGACTCTGTTTATCAACCAAGTTAAACATAAGCTGACCTTATAGCTCTCATTTAGCTTTGGCTCAGAATTGTCCAGAATAAGTGGTAATAAAAAGTCACTGTGTTGTGTTTGTACCTGAACTGTTCCGCTCTGATTAACACCTACACTGTCTTGTATTAAGTAGCTGTTTCTCTAATTATTCCCACTTTGTTATTATTTTACCATGATTATGTTCTTACTTCTTATATTTACTCATCTCTTATTTTCATATTTCTTTTTGCACCAAGTAGGCCTACCACAGCTATTTCCTAACGATGTGATATCTCGCACATGTGGCAATAAAACCCTTCTGATTCTGATTAACTACAGTTAAACTGAGCAGAAACATCACAAAACTCAGACTGTCCACCAGAGGGAGACAAACACAAGGCTGAGATTGTGTCATCTCATTCTAGAACCAGCCACACAGCTGATCCATCAGCTGACATTCCATTTATTTATAGTTCATTCCACGACCAGGCAATGTGGCCCTAAGTGATTAGCACTAAAATATACAGGGTAGAAGTGTGCACAAAACCCATTCAAGTTAAAAAAGCAGATAAAAAACTATTGAAACCATTAGAGTAGCACTCCCCCACACACACATACAGCACACCGACACACACGAAAACATAAAACATAAAACAGATGATGAGGATGAGTGGTGGTGCAAAAGCAAGCTAGGAAGAGTTGGTTCCCTAGTCTCAGATCCAGCGCTGCAAACACCAATTCCCCACAAGACTCACATCTAGCTCTCGGAGCCACCACCAAGCACTGCTCTGAAGATCAGCATGACGTTTGAGACAGCAGCGGCAGGATGGTGACGAACCTGCCAAAGGCCTAAAAACAAAAACCAAGATTTTAATACCAATCTAGTTCTGTACAGGCTGCCAGAACCAGGGATACATGCTCCAGCCCCAACCACTCACAAATGAATCTGGCTGCAGCATTTGCACCATGCAGCCTCTCACCAGCCAGTGTATGAGGAGCTGCAACTGTTAACCTAGACAAAACAAAAAAATGCATCACAATCTCCTGGTTTGACTTTGTGTTATGGACATTTTATATTTCATTGCTTTAATCTTATTCACAAATGTCCTGAGGCATTCTCACACTCAGACACACCCACACACTGTTCATCACACACACACACACACACACACACACACACACACACACACACACACACACACACACACACACACACACACACACACACACACACACACACACATTCTCTCACACAATGACCTCACTCCCATTCTTTTCTATTTGTTTAAATAAACTCTGTGATCAGATGTTCGGGTCATTTTGCCTTGTGCATGTGCCACAGTTATAACTGGTTGACTTGTCTGCTCTTTGTCTCCTTCTCTCTTCACTACGGGAAATGGGTTTATTGAGACACATATTGATAAAATCCCTAACACTTTGAAATCAAAATTCTAATCCTACTCACGCACTGGAGCTGGAAAAAGCAACACTCATCCAGAACACGTTTCATTGCAGCAACCTGCACTGGCTAAAGAAAAGAGGCAGAGACCGTGCTGCTTAAGGAAAGAGCAATAACCTTTGTTTTTGCTCTAATTAAAACCCAAGAATTCAGCTGCCTTCCAGACTGAATGAGTGAGCGTCTGAATCACGTCACCAGCTGATGCATCAGCAAATACATCACAGTCATCTGCATAAAAATGGACTCTGACACAGTGTTCCTGCAGGATCTTAACGGCAGCAAGTAAATTCCTCTTAGCTTCAACTTTTTTATATTTGTTACGTTTTTAATCTACTTCTGAACAACTTATTGGCTGTGAGTCTGTAATCAGCTTTTAAATGCATGAAACAACATGATTATTACTGATGAATGTAACCAGACTCCAAAATGACATTTTTTAAGAACGGTCTAAGCAGCTGTTGGTGTGCAATGATCTGTACATCTGTCCTCTGTGGACCTGCTGTTGCTATTGTTCTCTCAGAACGGCCGTGGTTGTCACGGCAGCGCTCTAGTGACAGCACCAAACTGTAATTTCCATCTAAACTGGGATGATGTAAAGACCACAGAGAGAAAAATCACATGTAGAAGCAAAACTTTGGATCCAGACCACATCACCCAGAAATAACCAGAGAATCAGACCTCGTCTCTGTTGCTGATCTTGTTTAGACTGAGAGGAGGTCACGGGGAGGCGTCCTGGGTTTGGATGAGCAGGGAGACTTTTGGAAACAGAACCCTTCATTTTCTTTCTAAATATATCCATATTTTTATGTTTTGCACTTTTAATATAGCACTTTGAGTTTTCTATCTCAGCCTGCCCCCTAAGACTGTTTAATAATTTCCCATTAAAAACTGTTCAAATAATGTTTTCCTCTTGTTATTGAGAATATACTGTTGGGGAAAAACTGCCACTGGGTATGAGTGTGGACTGAACGGGTGCCAACAATTGGAAAATTATTTCATACGTTTTATATATGTACACACACACACACACACACATATATATATATATATATATATATATATATATATATATATATATATATATATATATATATATATATATATATATATATATATATATAAAGGAGAAAAAAGAACTATGAACTAGTTTGTTTTTGGAACAGTGAATTTAGTTCAAAATTTTTTAAAATTATGAACTAAGAAACAAACTAGTTCGTTTTAAAATGTATGAACTGAACTTTGAACTAGTTCAGTTTTTTTTAACAAACTTTCCCAACACTGTTCATGGGGATAAAAAGGTGTATCCTACAGCAGAAGTTTGTTTTACCTATCGTATGTCAGTAGCTTTGGTAACTAAACTTCCATATCCGGTTATACTGGGCACCGATGATCCAATACTAGTAGACTTGATACAGAAAACAGCAGTTAAAGTGAGGACTCATGAGAGGGAAAAGCTAAATCAAAATCTTCAGAATGTGTATGTTTCCTGTAATGGCTCAGCAGGCTACAAAGTAACAATGACAAATAGTTTTATGTCAAACAAATCAATTTCAAAGATTTCCAAGACTGAACAAGAGCTGTCTGTCTGTCTGCCTGCCCGCCTACCTACCTATCTACTTGGGGTGTAAGAAAATATCGATATGGCAATATATTGTGGAATTTTTCCCAGCGGTATTATATCAATATTCAAAAGCCGTGTATCTAATTTTTGGAAGAATTTACATGCAAACATTTGTGTATTTTCTGTTCTTTTGGTGCAATTCAAACGCCGAACGCTAGTGGGCAGCAGTGTGCAACGGGTTCTGTTTTCACCATTGAAATGTAAATCCCTCTATTATAGTTCAGATACCTCATATTAAACATGTTAAGTATCAGTTTGGACTGTTAATTGAATTTTCCAATAACAAATTCAGTCTGAAAATTTGCCAATACCGTCTGACTGAATGCATCGATATATATATATTAGGGGTGGGCCGTTATCGGCGTTAACGCGCTGCGGCAAAGCCAGACTCTTATCGCGCGATAAAAAAAATGATGCCGTTAATCTATTCTCAAAGTTGGGTTGGGATCTGGGTCTATACTAAGTAAGCTATGATGGCTTTCACATTGCGTGAATGGATACCTGTTTGGCGCAGATGTATACTCGGCGCGGATCATCGTACGTATGGACGGGCGCCAGGCTCGCGGAGTTTAATGTTCCCCGTGCAGCCGAACAGTCGCACCTTCGCCACCAGCAGCGCTTCTCCCTTCTCATCGCGCGGGACAAGTAAATAATTTATGTACTTTCACCAGAGTTTGATCCATAACTCTGACTTTCATTCTTTTTATTTTGTTTTGTTTACCTCCGACATTTCCAGCCGGGCCACACTTCAACGTCCGCAGCCGAAGCAGCGCTCGGATGTGAGAAAACCGAGACAAGACTTTCTCAGACAGGTGCGGTTTCCAACTAAGTTTAGCTCTTTTAGCAGCTGTTTATTGTGATAAAGTGATAAATTGTTTCTACAGGTCGTTGTTCATGTGGCTTCGACTCAAATTCACCTGTAATAATAAACATTTTACTCGTAAATGTTTATATTTGTTTAGAAAAGTTGAGCTAGGATAACTCCCCTTGCCGTTTTCAGAGACAACAACAGCAACAGTTGGCTTCTGCTCATACAGGTGAGCTGTGGCATCATTTCCAGCTCTCGCTCCTATTCACCAGAGGCGATCCTACATGCAAACTAAAGGGGGGCATTGGAAGGGCACCCCAGAAATTTAACCCCCTCCCCAGGCCAGATAGTTTCTGTGTGTGTGTGTGTGTGTATGTATGTATGTATGTATGTATGTGTGTGTGTGTGTGTGTGTGTATATCTATACTTTTTTCTTTAGCAGGCCATATTGTGCAGAAGAGAAGATCTAGTTTGTCACCAGACAATGTGAACAAGCTGGTCTGCTTGAGTGACTGGTGGAAGAAGGAGAAATAGAGCTTGGACTGATTGA